GTGTGTGTGTGTGTGTGTGTGTGTGTGTCTGTGTGTGTGTGTGTGTTGATAGTGGATGGAGCTCAGACATAGTGACCCAAGTGTTTAGGATCAAAGTAAATATTTGCCCAAGTTTAGGGCAATCCTAAAAGTTGCCTATGTAAGGGTTATTAACCCGATTGATTAGCTAGCAATGAGATTGTTACTCCAGGAACTAAGGTTTTGTGATTACATCATTTTAACATTAAAAAAAACAAACAAAAAAAACAAAGAAATTACTTGAGGAATGCCATGTTGGTAAGGAAGCCTGATTAACTAGCTGTCTCAAATATTGAATACAGGACTTGTCATAACCGTCATGGGAAAAGACATTATGAAACAACCGTAACAGACCCCCGAATACCTTCCTCCCATATCCTTCCCACATTTCTTTTCTTTTTATTTCCTCACTTTGAACACCTCTTAACAAGCTCGACTTCATTCTGAGATGTCATAAAACAGTCTTTAGAGCATCAATGCTATTGTTTTCTTTCAAATCAGTAGCATCTGAATAAAGATAATTTAAAATATTTAATCCTTAACTCTACACAATTGCCTTGTAGTAACAAGCACTCAAATGCATATATATTTTTTGGATGTGTGTGTGTTATTGTTGTTGTTTGATGCCATTGAGTCAAGTATGACTCATAGTGACCCTATGAACTACAGATCTGAACTCTCTCCTATCCTAAAGCCAAAATACTGACATATTCCCAGAAAGGAGTACTGGTGAGTGTTTAAGTTGATGTCATGTGTCTATGTTTGAAGATGAAGAAGATAAATTTTGAAAGACAGCAGACAGGAACAGGAACTGACCCTCTAAAGGTTCTGGAACATTCACAAAGCTCACTGGCCATTGCACAATGCACCCAAGAATAGACAAAAAGGAATAAGGTGCTCTCGTATGTAAGGCGCTGCAACCCAAAGGCACGCAGTTCGAATCCACCAGCTGTTCTGAGAGTAAAAGATGGGAAATCTCTCTGTAATTTACAGCCTCTGAAAACCCAGTGGAGGGTTAGCTCTGATTCGATTCTGACTCAATGGCACATAACGACCAAATGCTTTAATCACCATATCACCAGGGCACCTTCCTAACCAGGAAGCCCTTTAAAGCATATGTCATACAGAAATTTCATTAACTTCAGAAAATTTCAAATGAGCGAGTGTTGTATAAACCACCTAGTAACCAGTCTTGTCTAGACCAGCCAATACATTTCTTTTGGGTTTTTTTACTCTATTTTATTTTGTTTTGTTTTCTTTTCTTTTCTTTTATCTTTACTCTTCTTTCTTAAAAGTCTCCTTATACCAAGCCTTCCCTGAACCATTTGGATTTGGGATTTTTTTTTTTTAAAAAAATAAAATAGTTTCCCTGTCTACATACAGATTGAGTGCTCTAATAACCAATACACTTTATTTGTGCTTTCATTATTTCATGGCCCAATACATGGTCTGATCGTTTGTTCCCAGTCCTGACTTACAGGCACTGGACATATGAAGACTTACTATTGCTTTCATCTCAAGCTCTCAAAAAAAAATGCTGGCTGCAATCCACTGATGACAATGGTGAACATTTGGATATGACCCACCTGTGTGTTATCCTGAACAAAGACAGGTGCCCCAGGAACAGAGGACTCTGGAGCCCCAGCTAAGATCACACTGACTGACACGTGTGACACGTGGGCAAAGTGGGAGATGCTGCAGATGGTTCTTAGAGTGACCTCTCTCAACGGTAAAAGGTAATAATTTAAAGATCCCTGGTGACATATTGGGCTGCTAACCAAAAGGTTAGAGGGTTGAACCCACCAGCCACCTCTCAGGAGAAAGCCCATCTGCCCTTGAAGAGCAGAAGCCTTGGAAACCTGGCAGAGGGTCTATGAATCCAACATGACTCAATGGCAGTAAATTTGGCATTTTGTTTTGACTCTATCCTTTTGATCAAAAGGTGGAATGAACAAAGGAAGGATAGGAATAAGAGAAAGGGTCAAGGAGAAAGGAGATGCATCCTCTATGATGAAGACAGAACCAGGAAGCAGTTGGAATGTGCCATTTTTAGAAATATTTACATATTCTGTAAATATCTTTTTGTTGTTATGTGCCATTGAGTTGGAACCAATCATAGCTGACCCTCCAATCAGATTTCGGAAGCTATAAATCACACGAGAGGAGATTGTCCATCTTTCTCCATCAGAGCAACTGGTGAATTTGAACCTTGTGTCTTTGAGTTGGCAACACAAATGCTTATCCTCTAGGCTACGAGCTAT